TTTGGTACAGTGTTTTGCATCGTTCCACTAAACTTGAACGAGTGGCTGCTGCTCGATCTGCCAGTGTGCTCATTGACGAGCTTCTCAAGTTTGTGGGCTGGTGTACACGGGCCGGCTCTTTAGTTGGCCCGAGGGCAAATGGGACAGTATGGGCCTTCACGCTAAATATTATTTTTATTTGTGATGATATCATAAAGAAAAGTAGCATATACTTAGGGCCTGTTTAGAATGCGATTTGTTCATATATTTCTACGTTTATATCTATTAAATTTTTGGGTTCCAAACACATCCTCAATAATTCTTGAAAAAGATGAAAACTAGACTCGATATTTACAAACTAAAAGAGCACCAATGGATCAGAAAAAAGGTGAAACTAGCATTTTCAAACAAGGTGAAAATAGATCTCAAAACGCATGATAAAAGAAGAAGCGCGGTATCAGACGTCGACAGCTGAGATTTAAAAGTTTGATAAATGCTAGTACTGTAGAAGAGGACAGATTTTTTTTAGCAGAAAGTAGAAGAGGACAGATGGCAAGAGAGAGAAAAACTGAAGCTCCGTAAGCTTGAGGATGATGATGATAGATAAGAAGCCACGTACGTAATTGGCCCAATGAGCCCATTAAGCAAAGGAACATGCCCGCACGGCTTTCCTTCGTTTTGGACCAACTTGTATATCGTGGGCCTAATTGCACACGAAACAAGGCCCGCATCCTCATCTTCTTCTCTCTTTTTTTAAAATTTTTGTTAAACAAGGCCGCTTCTTTCTTGTATTGGACTTTTGGTCTTCATCGTCACAGGTGCAGTGTGCTGCTAGATGAATTCGACTCCTATCCTATGTGTGAGATAGGGCTAGACTCTAAATTACCAGAACATCACATCGTTTTTTTTTATAACTAGATAGACTAGAAGCATGTTATAGACTGACAGGTGGAGGGGTGAGTGTGTAGCTAGATATTACTTTTACTGCATGCTTATAGACTGATAGACTGGTCTAAAACAGTATGTGTGATTAGTTATAAGTATTAGTCTTAGTCTAATAGTATTACTTTTACTACATGTTATAGACTGATAGGAGTGTGCTGGACAGTTAACAGATAACCAGCCTAAAACAAAAAGGTGTGATTAGTTGCATGTACTAGTCAGCATAATATTTGCTTTTACTGTATGCTTATAGACCGACCGACAGACACCATAGATAACCAGCCTGAAACAAAGTGATGGACCAAACTTTGGAGCGGTTCGGTAGGGCTTATTCAAAACGGCTGCGGCTCATTTGGAGGAGTCCTACCAAACGTTTGGTTACCAGGAATTAGAGTCGGAGCTATAGATATGAGCCCTACCAAACGTTTGGTTACCAGGGGATTTTATAAATCTACATAAAAAAATCTCAGAATACTAGAATCTCATTCAAACTGGCGAGATTCTATTGAATTTTAACATACAGACACGGAATCTAATGAACACACTACATTTTTTCATCTAGGGCCATGTTTAGATTGCAATTTTTTACAATCTGGACACTGTAGCACGTTTCGTTTGTATTTGACAAACTTTGTTCAATCATGGACTAACTAGGCTCAAAAGATTCGTCTCGTGATTTACAACCAAACTGTACAATTAGTTACTTTTTTTACCTACATTTAATGCTCCATACATACGTCCAAAAATTAATGTGATAGAGAGAGAATGAAAAAACTTGGAACTTTGATGTAAACAAGGCCCTAGATTTTAGAATCCACGGGGATTGAAACAGCACCTAACTCTAAACTACTGCACTCCTTTGCCTAAACTCTACGTACTGGAAGCAAGTACTGAGGTTGATACCGAATCAAACTGCAACCTAGGCCAGGTGGTCAAAACCAATTATGTTACGCTATGTGCTAGTACAAGTTAGTTAAGCTGATCTCTTCTCCCTTACTTTCTTTTGTTTTGCGTGAATTAAAAGGAGAGCATCAATGCAATGGACAAGGGTCCCTATTCTATAGTAAGAGGAGGGGGGGCGCATGCAAAGGTGTTCCAGATATCTTTCTTGTTTGGCTCCAAAAGCCAAACAGTTACTTAGTAGCTGGCAAGCATATATAAAACTTTCTTTCAAACAAATAATTCGGAAGAAAAAACTCATTGCTACAACGTATGCTGATGAATGAAGTGAAAGGATCGGAAAGCAGCATGCAAAAGTGTTCCATATATATTGGCTGGGTCCAAAGCCACATTTTTTGTTTTCAACCTAAAATAACCAAAAATAATTTGAAAACCTAACCCTTTTGATTTACAATTTCTAAACATACTGGCACAACCAAAAGGGTAACATCTGTAACTTAATTTTTTGTTAAGTTATTTTACTTAAAAATAGGTTAGAAATTTAAAAAAAATCCAAACTCACAAGGCTGGTAAGCAAAATGGAACACCCCCTCCTCCGGCCCCACATCCACAGAGACACTGACACACACGACCCCACCACACTGCCACACCCCTATCCCAACAAAAAAAATCATAAACCAAACTCATTACTAGCTGCGTTGGCATTGATCTCGAATCCAAGTGCAATCTCAATCTTATGGGCTGAAACATTTCCATACTAAGCTCATCGCCTGACAGTCTTTTCATACACAAATAAACTAAGGATGAAGCTAGCTAGGAGCTCTTGATGACTGCATGCATGCACACTGTAACATTTTTCTACTGCATACAGTACTACTAGAACTAGTGCTCTGTTGCCTTGCCCTTGCCCTTAACTAAACACTAATCCAGCTTAAGCAATGAGCTAGTTAACCCTAACAAATGAAATAATGGGCTCCAATCAGTCCTCATCAGACCAGTAAACAAGTGGTTTTTGCAGTGTCATGTGACATGGCCTATTTGACTGGTATTAAAGTCGGCTGAAGCTGATTTGTTGTGAGAGAAAAAATACTATAGAATTCTAACAGATAAACTCAAGTGAACAGGACTGCAGGGTGCAGGTGCACACATATCCAAGCACGAGGCAAGGGGCTGGCTTTTGGACTGGAGTCTGGAGTGTGGACTGTGGAGCAGACACAAGAAGGCCAAAGGGTGGTCAAACAAAGTTTAACTGCCCTCTTGTGACCCGAATGAATATGCCTACTGCAACTTTTAATAAGCACCCTGTGCCTGCCTGTGCTGTGTGCTGTGCACCCCCAGCAATAGAGCACATACAGTGAGATAAAAAGCATGTGTGTTTAACTTTAACCCCACCGTAACATCAGTCAGTCCAAGGTAAGGTAAGGAAGGACGGGATAAATCATAAATAAATAAAGAGAAAAAGATGAATGTGAGCTGCCAAGCAAAGCAAACCCATATCTCTCCGGTTGGTGGCCGTCCACCATTGCATCTGCACTGCCATTTCCATTGCCACTGCCATTGCTGCATGTGTGTGAGAGAGAGAAACATCAGGCATGGTGATGATGGCTTGGCTGGAGGAGTGCTAGCTACGATTGCCATTTGCCATTGCCAATGCCATGCCATGGCAGGCTTTGAGAAAAGCTTATTACCATCCCATCCCAGTGATTAGTTAGTCGTTAAATAATAAGTACTTACTTACTTACTTCACCATGGTAGCCGTCTTTAACCGTTGGGAGTCTTTTTGACCGCCTGCCTTGGCTTTGCTGGTCCCTGCTCCTGCTTTCACTGGTAGCTGGCACGGCACGGCACGGCACGGTTCACAGTCAGAAACAAAGCCGGCATGGCATTGAATGAATTCAATCGAACGCCAGCCAGCCGTGCTAACAAGTCTTGAAGGCCATGCGTGACCTGCCAAAGCCAAACGGAACATTTGTCACGGTTTTTACCGCCATCAACGAAAACAACAATTCCGAGAAAGCATTGAGAGGAGAGCTGTGCGTCATGATTCTTTTCTTTGTGTGTATAAGAAGCTGACCGAAAATTCAAAGGGCGGGTAAAAGAGCGCTCTTCTCGGACGGCGGAGGAGGATCGCACAACCAGCAGCGGCGACGCCCAGCTCCTTAAGTTGCAGCGGTGCTTTTAGTTCGGTTGTTTACCATTTATGTAATATCGAAGTTTGTAACAGTCTGTTAGGTAGGTCCAGTAGTAGCTGTAAGACCACCTAGTGCGATCATCAGAAGCGTGTCGTATGTACGGTTAAATTTTTTTTCTTAATTACAATTATACGTAAATCTTTTGCGTATTTCAGAAAAAAAATTCCATCCGCTACAAGGAAAATCAGTATGAGGATTGACAGATAATGCATAGCAAAAAAGATGCTATATTTTAGGTAGCTGAAAATTCAGTCAACAATCTTACGTACTTCTTACATTCCAAATTATAAGTCAAATTCTAAACTATAAGTCACTTTCACTTATAATTTGGAACGGATGGAGTAACTAACCAGTACTATTAAAAAACAACTTACGAGAAATATAATTCATATTTTTTTTTTCATAACCAAACAATGACAAGATTACAAGTTGTTTGAACAACGACAACAAAAAAAAAATATAGAAGTGGCATAATAAGAGGCAGCTGGGGTTGTGCCACATAACCATCCTTTGCCTCCTAACAGCAACACAGGACACACACCTGCATCAATGACACAAGAAAAGGTGAGGAGGGCCAATTGTTGCCAAACCAAAACTCAAAACTAATCACAACGCCAACCAAACTAAAGAAGCCAAGCGAAAGCTGAGATGATCCTGACCGATTCATCATCACATCCATCACTTGCCTGCCACTTTTTTAAAAAAAAAAAAAAACTTGCTCGCATTTGCATTTGCCAAACCAAACAAGCAGTGTGCCATATATCCATCCATTTGTTTTCGTCCTCTGCCCAACAAAACCAAACTGTGAAACGCACACTACTGCAGTGCACCGCCCAAAACCCTATAAACAATCTCCCATCTCTCAGGCTCACCTAGCAGCCTTCCCCTGTCTTCTTCCTTCCGAAATTCCAATCCTCTCTCCCTCCCTCCGACTCCGAGTCCCGTCCCAAAGCTCGGAGCTCCAAAGCTGGCACTGGCATCGCGGCAATGGCGAGGCCACCCACAATGGTGATCCAGGACGACTACATCGACATGGACCTGACCCCGTCGGCCACGCCAGTGCCGCCGCCATCCTCACCCCGCTTCGAGTTCCAGAGCGCCGGCGCTGGCGGCGCCGGCGACGCCAGGCACAGGGAGGCGGCGTTCGCGTCCCCGGCGGACGAGCTGTTCTACAAGGGCAACCTGCTGCCGCTCCACCTGCCGCCGCGGCTGCAGCTCGTGCAGAGGCTCCTCCAGGACCAGGAGCCGCAGCCGCCGCCGCCGCGAGGGGCGAAGCGGGACGCGGAGTCGGATGCCGCGGCGGCGGCGGCGGCGGCAGAGGGCGGGGACTCCGACGCCGATGCTGCCGGCAGCAAGGCGTGCGCCGCCAAGAAGCCGTCTTGGGCCAAGAAGCTCAAGTTGGTGAAGCGATGGGCGTCGAGGGAGTACATCCGGTCGCTGTTCCTGGCGAGGCCGCCGTTGCCGAGCGACATCGTCACCGCCGACGGTGGTGCCAGCGCCAGTGCCAATGGGCACGGCATCGGGAGCGTCAGCGCGAGGGGGAGCGTCCTGGAGCAGGAGGAGGCGTGCCAGTGCCACCACCGCAAGTCCTTCTCCGGCATCATCCGGCGGGTGCGCCTCGTGGCGACCAACAACAAGGCGCCCGGGACCTCGCCGCTGTGCTCCTCCTCCTCGTCCTCCTCGTCGTCCACGCCGTCGTGCGGCAACGCTAACGGCTTCTTCTTCCGGACGCTGGCGGCGGCGGGGACAGCGACGCCGGCGCTGAAGCGGAGCAGCAGCGCCGGGTCGTCCGAGGAGGGCGCCATCCAGGGCGCCATCGCGCACTGCAAGCGCTCCCAGCTGCTGCAGCCCGGGATGGTGGTCTCGTCGGCGGGGGCGGCGCGGAGGAGCGTCAGCGACGTCATGTTCTACTCGGTCACCAACACGCCTAGAGCGTCCTCCGTGGCCGCCGGCGAGATGGCGCAGGAGAGGAGGCAGGAGATGTGCAGGGGCTGATGATGATGGCTCATGCCATGCCGCCATGGATCAATCAAAGCAACATTCTTCTGTTTCATTTTTGGTTTCTTTTGCTTGTGAAGATGATGAGCAGTGTGCTGTGGACTGCTCCTGTGATGATGAGGACGCAATGTGCTGTGATTGTTTCCCCTCTTCCCTTGATTCTTTGTCATCTTCTCCGAGCCAAGGATTTTGGCACTTGAGCTGTTCATTCATCTTGGCTATTCATTGACATTCTTTATTTCTTTTCCCCAGTTGCAGCTCATCCTCTGTTGCATTCTTCTCCATCTCCATCTCCATCTCCATCTCCATCTCAAAGGCTCTGCTGTTGGTGGTGCTAGTGCTCACTGACTCACTCCATTGTTGGGGGAGGTAGGGTAGGGTAGGGCAGGGCAGCACAGCACGGCACAGAGTTTGAGTAAATGGTGCAAGGGTGGCACTGATGACTTGGTGGCAGATTTGATTCCGCTCCCAAAGTACACGCAGCTTGACCATACTCCTCTGTACAAATCAGTCTAGTCAATGGGATCCAGTGCTTGCACCTACCCTCTGTACTCACTCCGTAGATATACGTAGAAGAACACTCCAGTACAGACAAGTCTCCAGATTACTGTAACCAAGAGCTTAAGCAAAAGCAGAGCTCTCTGCATCTACCTCGCCGCTCCCTTGGCTTCGAAACAAAGCTTAGCTTTGGAACAGTCGTCTCTTCTGCTCCATGGAAATGCTTGGTCTTTTGCCAACATGAAGCTTTTAAGGAAGAACCCTTGGCGAGCAAGATTACGACGGTCCCATCGCATGGATCATCCAAATGATGCCTCTGCGAACAGATCAGCAAAAGAAAAGCAGTGTTAGGAATGCAGTTCTGGTATAGTGGCATCTGTATTTTCCCCTCTTTTTTTCTTTGTGAAAGAGCCAAACCATTTGAATGTTCGTGCTCCTTTTCAGATTTATTTACCAGTGCTTGTGAGCCGAAGATGCATGCGCCTTTTTGTATTTGTGGGGGTGCCTGCCTGAACTGGAACAGCTACAAACCGAGTAGAGCAGCATTGGGCACTGAAAAGCCGAGCGCCTTTGAGCTGAATGATCCCCAGCTCTCAGCTCTCCTCACCCCCACCATGGCTTGTCCTGTGATCTGATAGAGATGTGTCATGCAATCCAACAAGCACAAGAGGCCCAGGCCATCAGCACGGGCAGGCAGACGAGACACAGAGAGAGAGAGAGAGAGAGAGAGAGAGCTTTGCAGACCACAATACAAACTCCAGTCCAGAGATTCCTTCACCGTCCATCCCTCTGTGAGACTGTGACTGTGAGTGAGTGGCTGGCTGCTGTTAGCCACAGGCTTTGAGCACACCATCAGAAGCAGAAGCAGATGGATGGAAATGGAATAGAGCAAACCATTTGCCTGCAGCAAGGTTACAAACCAAAGAATCTTCTCAGAGGGGAGGAGCAAAAGGCAAGCGAGTTGGGCTGGCTGGCCCTGTTAAAGTGGCCAGCCACTGAGAAAAGGTTTCACCTTTCTGTTTCTGATGTTCAGGAGGAGGGAGAAGAAAGGAAAGGCGAAGGAAGGAAGGAGAGAGATTTGCAATCACAACAAACTGGAAAAAGGGAGCAAAAGCCTGGGTGTACTGGCAGCGCCACTTTGGTCTGTGTGCATACGTGCTTAACGAATAAGGTCATCATCGTTTAGAATCATTGTCGTCTACTGGACTGGACATGCATGAACAAGTTCGACTACCCCAGCTCCAAATGATGAAGGGCAAAGTTCAGAAATACAGTCCTCCTAGACCCAAGGGCAATGGGGGCAGGGGTTTGTTCAAGATGGTTGCAAGACACAGCCATTAAGTTGGCAGATGGAGCAGAAGAGCATTGGGTTTGCTGCTAAACCGTTTGCATCTGCTATGGTATGGCTATGGCTGCAGCGGCAGGCTCCAGGAAGAGCAGCAGATGGTTTGACTGGCAGGTCAAAGATGGGAGTATAAAAATGCATATATAGTAACACTGTAATAGATCAGGCATCACTGAACAAATCGACCAAGGTATGGTACTGTACTGTATTTTATTTCTTTGCAAAGATACAACAGCATGGCAGCAGGATAGGTATCACTGCTTCATGCCACATAGCAAAATGTTATTATATTATATTATAGAGACGAAAAAAAAACTGAGTACTAGTATGAGTTTTTTTACCATTGAAAGACAACAGATCTGACAAAAAAGGATTCGTACCTGGAGTCTCGAGGCAGGAGGCACCAACTTCATGGCTTGTTTGATTCCTGGATCCAAACCGGCAAACATAAGAATATTTGATAAAATTTTGTTAGGAGGTGACTCCAAAACACAACAGTAGGCTGGGTTTATCTCTGGTGAGACATGCCAAATCACTGCTTGGCCACTTTCTGAACTTGCAATGACAGCAGGAACAGTGTTGGTTCCTACCGGAAACATTTGCCGGTTCTTCAACCAAGGCACCAACAATTCCTTCCAGACTAGGCTAGTCACGTGCAGGTTTTCACATTGTAAAGCTGGATGGTTGATTGAACTCAAAACTACTCTGAATTTTCAAGCTGGCACATCCAGAAAATAGTCCTCCTTAAATACCCATCATGAAAGAATCTGGGATCCATGCTCTTCCAGACTAGATAATTGTGTTGCATTTGTCTAGTGTTCAAAGAGAAATACAGTACAAGTAAAGAATCATATGTATCTGTCTGCAACCTGACTGTAGTGGGGTAAAGTCATCTACTGAATCAATCTACTGACATAGGAAACCAGAAACCCAAATGAGGATAGCATTTAGCACACCATTTGCTCTTCAGTGTGTGTTTGTTCATGGGGAATTAGGAGACATGCATAACAGGACAAGCAAGCCTCGGTAGAGAACTAAATACAGCAGCCAAAGTTGAGCTAGATCAAACATGGAAGGGGCCCATATGTAGGCTGCAACGCCAGGTATGCTGGACTACTTTTCTCAGCACGACTCCCTAGTTTGTCAAAAAAAAAAAAAAACAAATAAGAACACCATCATGTATACCAAACTATATATATTGCAGAATAAGCTGGCTAAGGAAAACAGCAGGGGATTTATTTTATTAGCTAATCTGATGGGACATATAATAGAATAAGAGATTGTGTGATCTTCCAGTGTCTCCTTTACAGTTAGAATTTAGAAACCTACAAATACTAGTTATACAACAAACTGTCGTTGATAATGTATTCTCAGGTTCCAGTTCTCCATACAGAAAACAAACTCCGAAGTCAAGCTTTCACTGACTCCAATAGTCCAATATACAGCCTACCTAGTATATAATGTGAACGGGAGACCAATCTGCTTAACAATGTTCCCTCCTAATTTCCTAGAGCGATTAGATTACAGATCACTACTCTGAGCTTAAGTGTGAACACTGGTTAAGCCCTAGGTGGTTTGCACTTCTAACATTATGTTCTTAAAATTTATATTTCTCCAGTACGTAAATTCTGGACTAACTGCTCTTGACAGGATGAGACTTATGTCTGCTGAAGTAACCTGAGGTCCACTCCTGCTGCCAAATTCTGCATCATCTCCCTTGAAAGGGAACAACCGCTTCAAAGTGATTTGCATGATTGTATCTAGCCATTGATATTCATTACGTATGCATCTCTAAGTTTGTGCTAGGAGGCAAGCCTGAGTAATTGGGGCAGTCAAACATAGCATTCCATCAATCAAAGTAAACATCACATCCCCAGAGTAAAGCTATTTAACAAATAAATGCATACACCAATTTTTGTTCATTAAATTTCATATTGCATTAGAAAGCATCTCTATGTCAAACAGCTATAGTTATCATAAGGAACTCCTTAAGTTTTAAGGTATTTTTACAGGCTGTCAGTTTGTACTAAGCAGAGATACAATCAAACAGATGAAGAGGATGCTAGCTCGAGAAAATTATAAACATCATAAAGAAGGACAAGTGGCACATACTATCAAAAGGCAACAATTTAAAGGGCAACACATGCACCATTTTCTTATTTACCAAATTCCATATTGAGCTATTCGGCTGATGGTTTCTGCGGCTAATAAGCCGGCTGATGCTGTTTTGTTGTGAGAGAAAAACATTGTACCATCAAGCGAACAGGGGACACTGGAACTGAAGTGATGGTTAGGACCTCTATAAGTACACTGGTGTTTATACAGGTTGTCAGTTGGTACACTTGGCAGTGCTACAGATGAACAGGATGATAGCTCATGTAAAATTTAAACCATCTTAAAAGGGGGATAATTGGCACATAACACCCAAAAGGAAGTAAACCTCTGTGAGGATTTATTTATTATACAAGCAACTTGGTATAAGAAGCCAAACCACTTATACCTATTGTCAGTTAATACAGGTGACAAGAATGGTTGCTCAAGAGAACTAAAAATATCTTACTGGGACTCAGGGACAGTTTTCATATACTATTACTATTGAAGAGGAAACCAACTCTGCGATATCAATGAAGAGGTAGGAGCACAATCAACACTCATCACGAGCTTGAGTTAGCCTGATGACAATCTGCATAGATTGCAAAAAACTATAAGACAATAATCAAATGAAACAGTCATTCTTGCACTGTGGATGCAATGTTGTTACCTTGGTTTTATCATTAACACCGATATAGTCGGATAGCTTCTGGTCCATGGCTAGCTCTTTCCCAGCCCACCAAATATGTATTCTCTCATGCTTGTTGCCTGGGAATCGCATAGAAGAAAGAATTGATTGTAAGCAGAGGCCATTCCATGTCAAATGATCTTTTTATTTTTCAACTTTGAAGCTGGAAACAGTTGATATCAAGGTTTATGCACTTGATGAAAGATTGAAATACAGGTGCAACAAAACTAGTAGAAAAAGAAAAGTGCAACCTATGTAGTGATAAATTGAACTTTCTCCTGGACTATTGCATATGGATGTTCATTTTGTTTGTCTTCTGAAAATTGCATCTATCTATGTTGTGCTACCTGATGATGACTCTTGCAGAGACAACGC